TTACTTTCAAACATAACATTAACCAGTGAAGGTCAAAAGTCATCTGGCCAACTAAAAATCGTCGTAGCTTTGACGTGATCATCCGCTTTACTCAAGGTCGCCGCTGGAAAGCTCCTATTTTACTTGTACTAAACTCCGAATTAGTTGACGTTCCGGGAATTCTCGATCACTGTATATAATTACTATCCAGAAATCGGCAACTGAAATATTAACTAGAAGGTAACTGATCGGCTTCAGGAATCATACAATTGGTTCAATTATTATATTGTGCGCAACGTAGCCTACACGTGGAATCCATAGAATGGCATTAATAAAGAAGCTTTTTCACGGCCTATAATGTTTGCATTCATATGTAGTTTCCTTTGCTTGCTGGGCATAACTATCACTGCTGTTAGATTCTTTATGCATTTTTAATCGTTTTTTAAACTATTGATTACTAGCTGTCCCGACAGGCGTTGTCCCGTCTTAGCTGTGAACTGGGATCAATAATGAATAATAAAAGGGTAAATATATTGAATATATGTAATTGTATAGCGAACTGTTTGTACCGCCGTGTGGCGACAAATGACGTCATCTGAAAGCAATTATTGTATTGCTGGATATCAGTCAAAAAAATGTATAGAATATGGTCCATTTCGGGTGGTGGTACCAATGGAGTCAATTGGATTCTTTCACTGAAGCAACATAATCCAGGGGCTTTACTTTTAAACTTGAAAGCCTTGTAATGTGGACTCACAATGTTCATTGGTCCAATAGCATCGATTTGTTGTGAACTGCCACGTCATAATTGAATGCAGGTCGATTGGGATTGAATGCGATACTTCTACATTGTTGAATTTTAGTCCTTCGATCAGGTTAAACTTCATTTCTCGCTTTTCGTTGCTCGTCAGTTTAACTCCTCCGTAAATATTTTTGACAGCATTGCGAGTTCTGCGACCCAGGTTGTTACGTCTGATTGGTGGCATCTCGAAGAATCACAGTTTTAATATAGCTAACTTCCACCCTTGTTAACTATTTTTAAACAAATACTTCTCAAAAAACTCACTGAACAAACTGAAAACTGGATAGAAGCTCTGATCGAATAGACTGTGCACTGCTAATTAAATAAAACAATATTTTTTCATGGATAAGCACTGTTAAACGATAATATAAATTTGCGGGGTTCGAACTGTCAAGTTCAAAATGATAGAGTAGTGAAAGTCAATTAAGCAATAGAAACATACTTTCACCCGCCATTTTTACTCATAGAGTCAACTGCCGAAGGTAACAATTAGGCAACACTGCAGTTTCTTTTGAAGGGGCCATCACAAAGTAAGGATGGTTAAGTAATGTAAGGTCAAAAACGAAAGCATCGTGTTTAAGTGAGCAATTTTCTCTCACATAGCTAACTCTCAAAAGCTGGTGGAATAAAGATGGTAGAGAGCAGTGCCTGTCTTTTTTGATACTTGAGATATTTCTTCAGCTGTGCGTGCTCCATGCAAGCTGTCAAACGCGCGTAGCTTAAATAACACTGATCAACAGCCAAAAAATATCCTAAATAAAATCAACAAAATATTACTATTTTTAATGTGCTAAAACCAGAATGAAACTAATTTTTTCAATATTAGTTCAAGTTTTAGAGATACGGTAATTATATGTGTTCCTGCTGTGACAGTGTTTATATATACTCTAATTCACAAGAATGCACGTGCTACATTTTTATATTCGGCAAGGAAAGATGATGTAATCGGCATGATTGTGTTACGTTATACATACGTGTACATTATATTGTTTTATATTAGCCATTTTTTCCTCAGTTGGCTGACAGCGTTCATGCAAGATGTCTCGAAAGTGTGTAAACAATCCAGATCAGTTTTGTTACATGTGTGGTGATGTGACTTTTGCGTCTCAGAGACGGTCTATTACTCCACTAATAACAAAGGCATATCAGCTTTATTTCAGTTGTAAACTAGGTGATCAAGACAAACAGTGGGCACCCCACATCTGCTGTAATACATGTGCTTCAAGTCTGAGGAGCTGGTTAAATGGCAAAAAACGGTCTATGCGCTTTGCTGTCCCAATGGTTTGGAGAGAGCCTAAAAATCATATTAATGATTGTTACTTTTGCATGGTACCTTGTGTTGGACAAGCTACAGGTATGTCCAAGAAAAAAAAATCGGTTATTAACTACCCAAACATACCATCTGCGATGAGACCTGTGCCTCACAGTGATGAAAATCCTATTCCAAAACCCCCAGAATCCTACACTTGCGAATCAGAAAATGAATCAGGTCATGGCGATCGAGTGATTCGTCAGGAAGAAGATATGCCATCAACGTCAAGAGATCCTGATTTTATACCGCACAAAATAACACAGTCAGAATTAAATGATCTTGTAAGAGATATAGAACTTCCAAAATGTAAGGCAGAGTTACTTGGATCAAGACTGCAGCAGTGGAACTTGTTAGAAGACGAAGTTTCGGTATGTGTTTTTCGTAAACGCCACAAAGACATAGAACCATTTTTCAATATAGAGAATAACTTGGTTTTCTGCAGTAACATTAACGGCTTACTGGCGGCTTTAAATATAAACTATAACCCAGAAGAATGGAGATTGTTTATAGACAGTTCGACATTGAGTTTAAAGGCAGTGTTATTGCATATTGGAAATATTTTACCATCTCTTCCTGTAGGGTATGCAGTTTACATGAAAGAATCATATGACAATATGAAGTACCTATTGACATGCATAAAATACGATGAGCACCAATGGCATATTTGTGGCGATTTGAAAATTGTTGCACTTTTACTTGGGCTGCAGCTAGGCTACACAAAGTTTTGCTGTTTTTTGTGTGAATGGGACAGTCGGGCGAAGGCACTTCATTACACCAGACAAAACTAGCCGGTTCGTCAATTCCTAGAGCCAGGTCAAAAAAATGTACAGCATATGCCATTAGTAGATTCGAAAAAAATTTTATTATCACCACTGCATATCAAGTTGGGCCTAATGAAAAACTTTGTCAAGACATTAGATAGAGATGGGTCAGCTTTTCAATACCTGCGTCAGAAATTTCCAAGACTAAGTGAGGCAAAGGTTAAAGAAGGTATTTTTGTTGGCCCACAGATTCGAAATATTTTGAAAGATACACAGTTTGAAAACACTTTAACAGGTATTGAAAAAACTGCTTGGAATGATTTCCGTCTGGTGGTCACTAATTTCTTGGGAAATAGAAAAGCTGACAACTATAAAACCCTTGTCAAAAATATGCTGTCATCGTATCAAAAGATGGGCTGTAATATGTCTCTTAAGATACATTTCCTACACTCACACCTGGACTTTTTTCCTGACAATTGCGCAGCCGTAAGTGATGAGCACGGCGAACGTTTTCATCAGGATATTTCAACAATGGAAAAAGGGTACCAGGGAAAGTGGAATCCTTCCATGCTTGCAGACTACTGTTGGGCTCTTGGTAGAGATGCTCCAGAAACGATCCATAAAAGAACAGCAAAAAGACAGCGCATATAGTGATTCTTATAAGTATATGAATCTTGTTACTTTATTTAGTATATCCTTAAAAATAAAAAGTTTTTTTTCTAAACCGCAACTATTTTTTTTTATTTCATTGTCATTTTTGGATTCAGCGCCCCAAAATTAACAAAGAAGTGCACTTTTCCCACAAGATACAATTAAAAAACTAAAATTTGTTGTCCAGTGTAATTATAGGTTTTCACTGATTTCCCAATTTTCTGCGAATTTTCTTGATTTTTCTTCCCATAGGAACCTTATGTACAGTGTTAGAAAAGATGAACGAAATCGGTAAAGTCGTTCTCAGCTTATGGCGTGACCACGCGAAATAGGGATTCATTTTCATATATATAGACTACAAATCAATACGCAGTCTATTTTTTAACTGAAATAGCTACTGTTGATTTTATTTACAACGTCTCTCCCCTTCGCAATTTTCTATGGGTAAAACATCTCGTGTATTTTATTTGGCAATTTTCAAATATATCATACTTTAATCACCCTACCTAAATATTTCTAAAACTGCGCAATCCAGAAAGCAATTTTAAACAAAAGTAGGGAGCAAAATGAAGGTGATCTTAACAATCACATTGACTATGACCTTTAAGATATTTTTAAGATCAAGTAAGTAGTTTCAAATAGAATCTTTCCTCGTCTATACCGTAACAGAGAAGAGGAGCAAATTTTACATCCGAAAATCACCTTAGATATCAAAAACCTAGAAAGCAATTTGTCCTAACAGAAAAAGTTTGATAGCACAGTTTTGAAGTTTGTGGGATTAGCCAGAGATGAGGTCAAGGTCATGACCGCAACCGTCACCATAACCTTCAACGACGAGTAAAAATTGCCAGTGGAAGGTACTCATTTTCATACTGGAAACCAGAATAGCCGGAAGTTTTAAGTCAAAATATGACCTTGATCTCAAGTAAAATTTAAGCTTGACACAGCAAGGTCATATTCAAACGTAAAATTCTTTTCCCATTTCCAGCGCAAAGGTGAGAGTCGTTCTTCAGAAGTTTGTGTGAACCCCACAAACCTCATAACTATGCTATACCTTGATTTAACCTTGAAATGACCTTGGAGGCAATGGTCAAGGTAATAGCAAGGGTAATACATGGAATTTAAATCAGCTCCTATTTTCAATTCCGTGATATATCTGAAAAATATTAATTAATATCCATTTTTTTCCTAAAACTTCAACACTCCGAGTTTTTATAAGGAATCGTTTTTGGACCATAGTTTATAAAGCAAACTAACATTAATTTTTCAAGTAGATTCACACCCTTAAATATTCGCACATATATATATATATATATATATGTATACATGATCTAGCTAGATTCCGAAACATAGTTAAAACTTAGGGGTAACTAACCAAAGCTGACTGAGAGCTTTGACCAATGTTAAACCTAAAATTGTGTTTCGAACTTTGCCCACGATATTTATGAAGAATTAAAACTAATGACATGCTGAAAACCTACAATTGGATACTTACAAAATACGAATTCGCGTCGTATGCTCGCGCTTTACTGTTGAGTTCGCTCTTGAGGTGCCAGCCCATGAGGTAGATGTGGGTGCTCAGGTAATGTTCGCCGTTCCTAATTTTCAGCATGAGCTGCCACCTGAAATAATGATTACAGGGTGTTATTTAAATATGTGTCATAATGAACAGACGATTCTTTGAGTAATTTTAAGACAAAAAGTTCATATGAGCACAGGTCCGTAAATTCTCCGATCTCAAGATCACGGGGTGTTAAAATTTAGAAAAAAAACGTATTTTCGTAATTTTTTTAAATATCCCTTACTTTTTATGTAATTTGACGGTGCTATTTCTTTTCTTGGATTAAGCTAAGAGAAGTACAACTTTTTTGTCGCTTGAATTTTTCGTATCTTACTTAGTTTCCGTCAAAAAAGTCCACTTAATTTGATATATCTGGACCACACAAGGAATATGGAGAAACATTTGTTTGGAAACTATTATCTTTTTTGTAATATTTTAGTTCTAATTATGGACCTCGCAACGAATGTGGGGAAACGCTTCTAATTGGGAATTACTATTTTTTTATAATTTTTTGTTACTAATTATGTAACAACAACAAATACTAAATATCATTAATATCTATCTATCATTGGTCAAGTGCTGTCAGTGCTATTCTGTAAATAGACGACATGGTTCGAGAGTCTACGTCTGATTTTATATTTATACCGGTTTACCGAATAGCCATACTTAAATTGAAGAGCCTGTGACAGTACAGCTCCTAAGTCACGTTTGAATGAAACTTCACATTCCCATCTGAAGGCACCTGTGGCGTAGGTATTTATTTGAGTTGATTTATTTGACGATTAGCCGATATACAGGATGGCCCATCCACGAGTGAACGTAATATTACTCATAAACAAATACATTTTGGGAAAATCTATTGATGGCATGTTATACGTGACATTCGAGGGCACATTTCTATAATATTGGCAATTATACAGGGTGTCCCAATTTCGGCCTACATATCAAAATGTGATTTTTCAAATGGCATGCCTCAAATTTTATTGCGTATTTGGATCAACCAATTCAAAAGAAGAAAATTGATATAACATGCTATGACGTTTTGGTAATTAGCTACTGAGATATAAGGTATTTTGACTAGAAAAACCCCCCACTTCGGCAACCCCCCAGTCCGCCATTTTGAAATGTGGCGTGATGAATTTCGAATCAAAAAAAACTTACACACCTCAGCTCTTATCCAGTTTGTTACTTTTTTGAATTTTAATTTCTGCTCATACAGGGTGGTCAAAAACGCAAATTGTAGTTTCTCAAAAATTTCAAATGCATCACCCTGTATATTTGTACAGGTTTGGATTCAATTTTCTATAAGGTTATTACCACGTCTTTTATGGAACGGCTCAATTCCCTAAAATATAGCATCATCCTCGGAAACAAATAAATTGTTGATTAGTTACAAACTATCAAAGTTAGCTTTGCGAGCATTATAATAAAAACATGTTTGAAAATGAATTCTTCTAAAGAAGAAATGGTGAACATGGTGTTCGTTTTGGGCGAATCCCTAGCATCTCGTATTTATAAGCAACGGTGCCCTAATATGCGACATCCAAGGCCGGAAACATTTTCCACACTACGAGAACGTATTGAGTCAAGTGGACCAGTGGACTATAGTAAAAAATGTATGAATAATCCAAGTATCACCAATGAGGCAAATCAGTTGGAGATTCTATTAAAGTTGCAGGAAGATCCCCATGTAAGTGCACGGCAAAGGCAAAGGAATACTCACAAGCATAGATACCATCCATAGATTCAGATTCTGATTCATTTACTGATCCAGTTAGATCTACATTGTAGACATTGGATAAGTCGGTGTATACAGATTAAAATATAGATAAAAGGAAGTAAAATACAAATAACAATAAGAATATAAAAAACCATATGATACACACATGGCAATAAATTATTTGTTAAGATCCATCAGAAGCACTGTGGAATGTGACAAATTCACCTAGGTCATAAAAACCGCAGTCCGATAGCTTGTTCCGCAAACGTCTTTTGAAAAGCCCTACGGAGTTTACGTTTTTGATCTCCGGAGGTAATAAATTAAAAAAGTATATTCCTGCTGTTATGGGAGATTTTGAATGAAACGTATGATATGACACATGCCTAACTATATTATTTTTATTACGAGTGCTGTAGTCATGGATGTCAGTATGCTTAAGATAATCATTTCTGTGCTGAAAAATATATGTTAAAAGATTATAAAGATATATACATGCTACTGTAAGTATTTTGTGTTTAACAAATATCTCACGACAGGAAGATCTGGACCGTATTTTAAATATAATGCGAATGATTCTTTTTTGTAAGACAAACACTAGCCTGGCCCCACGCAGTAATGCCATACGAAATGACAGAGTGTACACATGCATAGTAGACATCCATTAATGCGTAGGTGTTTAACATCCTCCCTAGCGTAAGTATTAAATACAGACTTTTTCCAAGTTTCTTACATACGGAATCAATTTGCTCTGTCCATCTTAAATTGCAATCAAAGCTTACACCTAGAAAAACAGTTTTTTTGGAAGTTACAACTGTCTTGCATTGAAGACTGAAATTAAAATTTGACGGAGTTTTTGGTTTCATAAAATATTCAACTGTATTTATTATTAGTCTGTTTTTGAAGCACCATTGACTGAACTCATTAACCGAATCATTAATTTTTTATTGAAGACGATCTTGCGATGAGTCAGCTAAAATGATATTTGTGTCGTCTGCATACAAAAGTAATTTTCCGTAGGATAAGTGTGCAGGCAAATCATTTATGAAAATCGAGAAAATAAGTGGTCCAAGGACGCTGCCTTGAGGTGTGCCCCAATCTAAATTGAATTCATCAGATTTTTTATCAGCGACAGTAACATAAAATTTTCTATTCTCTAAAAAGCTAACTAGCCATTGATTCAAACATCCGCGAATGCCAACATGATGAAGTTTATCGGCCACAAATGACGAGCTTACACAATCGAAGGCCTGAGACAGGTCAAATTGGATACTCACTACGTAATTACCTAAATCAAGTTTATCACAAACATACTGAACATACTCGATAATGCTTGTTTCAGTTGAGTAGCCTGCCCTGAAACCATGTTGAGCATATGTGATAATAGCAAATTTAAGTAAAGTAATTTTCAATTTTCATTGCAACCACTTTTTCAATGATTTTCGAGAAAATACTTAATAGCGCGATTGGCCTATAGTTTTCAACATCACAATTTTCACCTTTTTCAAATATCATAATTAACGATGCCATATACTCTATGCTTGCATCAAGGCCTCCGTACTCAGGATTTCGCAGCTCGGATGGAGTTTAGTAGAATAATGCTAGATAAAGTGAGAGTTCATAAGGCTCTTTTTTTAGCGATGAGGCAACTTTTAACAAATAAATGGAGCTTGAGTTTGGGGAGGAGTTATTGGCAGACAAGTTATCGGGCGTTTCTTTATCGACAACAGATTAACAGGTACAGAATACTTGAATTTTTTGATCGAGCATTTACCTTTGCTTTTGGAAGATGCCAACTTGCAAACTTGGATGCATATGTACTTCCAACATGACGGCGCACCTGCGCGTTATCATAATCGTGTACGTAACCATTTGGACACCTGAAGTAACAATCGTTGGATCGGTCTTGATGGACCAATATCTTGGCCTCCTAGATCACCAGATATGACACCGATGGACTTCTTTCTATGGGGCTACCGTTAAGCAAGAGGTTTATAGTGTAAGAAACGAAAAAATTTGGCGAGCCGCTGCCGGTCGCGAAGGGGTACTGCCCTGTAGTTGCTGCTTTGTGGTAGCGGGCTGTAACATCGAGCAGTGCACATCGTGCTCGGATAATGTGCTGCTCCGAAATTTCGTTAAATCGTTGTGGTATTATTATTGTTGTTAATACAAGTTGATTGGTAGAAAATTCGTGTTTAACTATCCGTGTTTCTAACAATAGATATCCACCACCTACCCCGGAAAATATGAAGCAAAGGATTAAGGATGCTTTTCTGGACATAAGGGAACACATGCTGAGGGACGTGCAATGGTCATTTATTCAAAAACTACGGCTGGGAAGTCAACATGGTGGAGATATTTTCGAGCAGTTTTTGTAGATCAGGTCTTAAGTAGTCATAGTTGTGTGTTTATGTTGTTATTATAGTTGTTTTTCTCTATTACACCAGAAGCTGATTTATACTGTTCTGATTGTTATTAGTATTTACGTCAAATCTGTACTCTTAGTGGCAATATGGAACTAGCCCACTGTTTGTCTTTTGTTTCCATGGATGGTGTGATTTTTTTCCTTAATTGTGCTGTGTTGTTCTATTAAACGTTTAATAACTCAAAATCTAGTGATCTGAATAAAACCTTATACAAAGAAAGGTTATAAAAAATTAAATCCAAACTTGCACAAATATACAAGATCATGCATTTGAAATTTTTGACAAAATGTAAAATTTCTGTTTTTGATCACCCTGTACGAGCAAAAAAGAAAATTCGAAAAAGTAACAAATAAGATAAAAGCTGAGGTGTGTATGCTTTTTTTGATACAAAATTCAGCACTCCAGATCTTAAAATGGCGGTTTGAGGGGTTTCCGAAGTGGACGGTTTTTCTGGACAAAACAACTTACGTCTCAGTAGCTAATTACCACAGCTCCATAGTATTGCATATCAATCGTCTTCTTTTGAATTGGTTTATCCAAATATGCAATAAAATTTGAGGCATTCTACTCAAAAAGATCGCAACCTTATGTAGGTCAAAATTAGGACACCCTGTATAATTGCCAACCTTTTGGAAATGTGCCATTAAATGTCATGTATAACATGTTCCCAAAATGTATTTGTTTACGAGTAATATGTCTTCCACACATGGATGGGCCACCCTGTATAATGAAATAACTTTTAAGTGGCGCTTTTGAGCAGCCTCTACAGGGTGACTTTGAAGTTGAGTCATTAATTTTCAGATAATGACTGTAGAAGGAAGATAAACCAAAATATGTGTGTAAAAATAAAAAAAATAATAAAAAAATGTTACCTTGTTTTATAAAGTATCCTCTCGACAAGTATTTCAGTGCCGACCTGTATTTAATCGTGCGGTCTTGGAGCACCAGCATGCCCTCCCGTGTGAGGTCTTAAGTCACCTGATTCACGAGCTCTTTGTACTACATTAACAAAGACACGAGGGGTTGGTTGCACTCGATTGGGAAACCGATCCGCATAAATCCGTGATGCCGCGGCAGCATTTTGTAAAGAAAACATCGTGATAAGCGTTTCAAATTCTTTGGCTTTTTTATTGCCGATGCGATGAACCGATAAGGCGGATTATATCCGTTGTTGCCAAACACGAGCACATAATTTTATTATTGAGACAGGGCGGTACTCAAACTTCTACAGGGCTATAACTTTGTTACTTTAATTTTACCACAAAAATGTGAAAGGAAAAAAACATTCCTTTTGATCGGATCTACTCACTGTTAAAATAAATGACTCAACTTCGAACTCACCCTGTATATCCCACAAAGATTGGCGTCGGACGGAGATTAGTCGATGTCGAAAACTATAGGTGTTTCAATGATACAGAGAACAAAGATGGTTCTGGATTCAGTTCAGCTGACTGTGTGCATGATAGATACCATCATCCTACTGAAAGCAATTCAAATAATGGCTATCAGTGAGTAACTCAGGCAAATCAATAAACGCTTACAGCTTTATTCCTGTTATACGCCTACGTGGGAAAACCGAAGCCCAAATGTCGGAACACCGCGGCTGCTATGATCCCAAAGAAATTCTTTAATACGATTCTTGAACTGTCTAAGATTAGTAGAACTGGGAAAAGCCTAGTCTTGTTGATTGTTCCACAGTCCCGACACCCTCGAGATGAAAGAGCGGTCGTGTCGGCGAGTTCTGGATATACTGAGTTCGATTCGGTTAGGATGGGAGGCTTCTAAACTGTACGACCTGTTGCATCGGTCTTGTTTGAGCAACCAAAGCATTGAAATCACCGAGGAGAACCACCTCTAAAGCGTTGTGATTGTCGTTGAGGGAGTCGATCTTGTTAGCGAGGCATTCAGGTAGGTCATCCCAATGATGGTCCGAGGGAGAGCGTTTTATATTTTATTTAATAATCGATGTTGTTCCCTCGAGTTCACCCTCCTTCCGGACATTCTGAGAGTGGAGTTAGTTTACGTCCGGAATTCTTAGTACTCAGGGGAGCCATAATCATTTTTTCATTCCGTTGTTTGTTGTAAGGTAACCGACTGGGTAGCTCAGGTGCAGACTCTCAGATTTTTGTCTCCTTCAAAAAAAAGCAGGGCGGGACTATTGAATTGCAGGTACTGATGAACAGCATCAATGTTGCTATTAATCCCTTAGATGTTCGTGAAACAGCGATGCCGCAGACGTGGAAAGGGATGAAAAGCTTTAAGCTCAAATTGAACATTTTAACATCAACGATTGGACATCAGACTCTTTATCATCTGGGTGTTTGTGTTAGACAGTATCACTTGTGTAGCAAGTTCAGTTTTTAGCAGAAACTCATGTAGATATGACCAGCGTATCTATTCGAATAATGCCTCAAAGTGAATTTCAAAATTCAACAGTGAAGACAGTCTAACTGTATGCTCCAAGACTACTAAAACGTTACCATTACCAAATTGTTCTATGCATTTTCTGTAGCTTTTTGAAACAATACAAAAAGTATTGTAGTCAGTGATATCAAAACCCGCAAACGTAGCAACTCAAAATTGGGGTCAGATTGTCTGCTGCTTGAAATTTAAATGTCTATCCTGCCAGCTATGCATCACAGAGGGATGTCTGCGTAAAAAGTTGTTGACTCTTTGCTTATTCAACTCCCAGCGGAACAACGATACCTACATCCACACGCGCCGTTCTCTTTGTCTACCTCCATATAGCGAATAAACAGTGCCAAAGCTTGTTAAAAATCAGATATGCTGCGTTTGGTAGGACTTCTGTCGCTGCTTCTGTGACGCATCCGAACGATAATTTTGATAAAGTAGGTCATGAAATAAACAACAATAAAACATATATGTGGCGTCCTTCAGGGCTGTTTTTCTCGAGGAATACTCAAAGGTAATTTTATGTATAATATAAGGTAGATATCTTCGGGAGCATAACTATACACTTTTGATGTGCGCCCTTTGGAAAAAAATTCTGCACGCGTTTATGGTAGTCGGTAGGATAGTTGGTACAGAGTTGGTGACTGTCGCATCTGTATCTATGCGGCATACTCTGGACGAACCAGACGTGCGCAAAATCTGCTAGAAGAAGCTTGAAGAACCATTGATTACGATGTAAGTAGGCTGTGTACCTCATCATTTTTATACAGGGTGACTAAGAGTAATTTTCCCTTTTTAACATGTTATGGAGTCAAAATTAAAAGTGTTGCCATAACTTTAATAATACATTCTGAAGGTACAGCGATGCGGATTTCACTTAGCAAACACAATGTTGTCCAAATGTAGTGCATCCTACTCATAGAACTCCTCCAATGATGCTCTTAAATATTGGAATGTCCGTTGACATATTTCAATAGGAATGTTATTAATTGCCTGTCGAATGTTGTTTTTTAACTGCTCCGTAGTGGCTGGAGGATCGGTGCAGACCATACTCTTCAAATATCCCCATAAAAAAAATCAATGGGCGTAAGATCTGGCCATCTTGGCGGGAAAGAGATATCCCCAAACTTCGAAATAGCGACTTCTGGTAACAATTCACATAAAATGTTCATTGATGTTGCTGCTGTGTGCTGTCGCCCCATCCTGTTGAAACCAGGCCCCGCTTGGGTCATAGCCAAGAAAGTTCTGAAGAGCTGGAGTACAAAATTGCCGAAGCATTGCAGTGTACCGTTGGATTGTAAAAAGAGTAGGGCTCGATTATTCCAGTAGCCGACATGGCACACCAAACTGTAACCTCCTTGGAATGCAGTTGTTTTTGATGCTTCTCTTTTGGGTTGTTGTCACACCAGTAGCAACAGTTCTGTTGCTTTACGTAGTCCTGAAGTTGGAGGTGAGCCTCGTCTCTGAATAGAATGTGGTCCAAGCATCCTTCATCCCAAAACATATTCATCATCGTTTAACAACATTTTTTCAGATTTCGTGCTCCGTAGGTTTTAAAAACTGTATCAATCGAATTTTTTACGGATTAAACTGTTAGTCTTTGGTTAAAATCCATTGAACACTTGAGTGATGAATAGGTAAGGCCTGAGCATGTTTTGAGGATTGAGCGCCTGGGATTGTCATTCACTGCACAATCTGAATGTTCTCTGGCGTTCTGATAAATTTCTGCATCCCTGGGTGTTTCTGACTTGCCAGTGTACCTGTTTGTCGAAATATTTTAAGCCAGGATTGGCGTGCCGCGACATAGGAATCGTTAGATTTAAAAAACGCCTCGACCATAAACGCACGTTGCTTATTCAACCACTGCTCCTCCATGTTTACTGACAATCCGCACGTAGTCGCCGCAAATTACCAGCTCTACTTCCCCCACCACTGTTAAGACGGTTGTACAGGGCCAGTTCGAAAAGGGAAATTTACTCGGAGTCATCCAGTATAATGCTGACCAGATTTGTCAAATTGCAATTATTAAATAAATTAATGGATGCCCCAAGCCCAGAAATTCTAAACAAGAAAAAGTTATATCTATCTCGCTCCTGTATTTGATAGAAGAAATCCGAATGGAATTAACAAGAAAACCTTCAGGACCAATGTCTTCAATGCTACTTAATAAATCGAGATCAAAAATTATTAATTAGATTTTTTTGATAATAATCGTGTTTAGAATATACTTATAGAATTCTATAAACGTAACGTAAACGTTTTCACCTTTATTGGTTTCACCGTTTATTCGCTACTCATTTCATTGTTACTTTAAGCAGATAAAAATTACTACTGTTATTGTTGTCACATTACTTGATTGCCCTTTAACAATTATCTATTCGTATTCTATTATTCTGCTACTATTTGTCAGCAGTAGATATAGTTTCGTTGACTAAGGTTAATCATGATGAGAAATAACTGCATTGCTATACCTTGTTATCAACTGGAACAGCCTGCATTCCTGACCCATCTGCCTTAACACCTTAGCAGCACTTATGATGGCTTCTTGGTGGTACCCTGATACCCTTAGCGCCTTCCAGTAGAACAGTAGGGCCGTATGATGATTATCTGCAAGATAAATGACTGATATCAGTGGACAGCTTTTGCTACCATCAGTGACGTACTTTACAGCATGATCAACGAAATCTCTAGTAAAATAAGTTGAAAGAAAACCTGCTGCTTTTACGTATATAGAACTAGGATGAACGGCTTAATATACTCAGTGATATAAGAAGTGTTACAAAATATTTTTTTATACTAAGTGGCATATAAATCCGAACGCCCAGTTTAAATGGTTTTGTTTTAATAAAATTTTGTATAAGTACTTAATGAAGCATAATAAGTAAATGATAAAAATTTCAAAATGATTGCACTGCTTTAAAGCCCTTTGACCTTTAATAATGTGTGGCTGCACCCTGATGTGCTACGCATTCTCCAACGCGCCTAGGCATGCTTCTGATCAGGTGGTCAATGTCCTCCTGTGGTATCTCATTCCAGGCAACCACCAACTCCTCTCGAAGTGCTTCTACAGTCTGAGGAGGACGTTGCAGATTGAGCAATATCCTACCCATCATATCCCACACGTGCTCAATTGGTGATAAGTCGGGAGATCTTGGTGGCCATGGTAACAATGTGACATCATTATGTTGAAAGAAGTCTACTGTGACTCTTGCAACATGTGGTCGGGCATTATCCTGTTGGAAAGTTGGATCTGCCAGGGTGTCAATATAGGGTAAAAGATGGGGTTCTAGAACTTCGTGGATATAACGCTGCGCGTTCATGTTACCTCTGATGAAGACTAAAGGTGACATGGAACCAGTGTGATGAACATGTCTTTCAACAAAAAACTGTAGATTCCTCCTTTCACCACGTCGCCTTCTAACCCTAGCACGACCATCGTGCATGCCTAAACAAAATCGAGACTCGTCACTAAAGACAATACTGTTCCATTCCTGATCCCAGAGTGACCGTTGTCTGCACCACTCAAGGCGATTACGTCGGTGCTCTCGAGTTAAAGGGAGGACCCAGTGTGGCCGGTACGAAAACAAGCCAAAACTTCTCATTCTTCGGTAAACATTTCGCATGCCAATGGGTCTTCCGTGTTGTGCAAACCATTAATTTGCAATGGACCTGGTAGTGGAGAAACGGTCCCTTAAGGCCAATAATCTTAGGCGGCGATCTTCACGGTCTGTTGTTCTACGGCGGCGTCCAGTGCCCCTTGCTCTTTACGTACGGCCTTCTCGAAGCCATGTCTGACAACACCTAATCACAGTGTCTACACTTCTTTGCACTCTAACTGCAATTGCCCGAAAAGAAAGTCCAGCTTCCCGAAGTCTCACTATACGGCCCCTATCAAACTCACTAAGTTGCCGAAATCGTACAGGTCTCCGTACTCTAGGCATCGTAACCGATCGTAAAGGATGTCAAGAACCAAAATCCGCCAAGGTTGATTCTTTACTGCGGCTGAAATATTCATTTTTAGAGCGTTAGTGAATTAAAAAAAAGCAGTATAAAAACCGGAATGTCCAACTGATAAGGCTGAAAATTTTTTCACCAACTTTTCTTAAAATAAAACCATTTAAACTGGGTGTTCGGATTTATATGTCACTTAGTATATAATTTGTTTTTTGGCACCATAGTGACTATATTTAAAGCAAGCTGTGGCAACAATGTCAACGTTTTAACTTTTACCTTTGTTAAAATATTGTCTCTAAGTTTTTGAGATTTAGCCGTTTCTGAGAGCTGAGAAGTACAGTTATTTTTAGTTATTGTCCTTTCATTTACTAGTGTTGAGAATTAAAAAATGCCTCGAGTCCGAGGACGTCCACATTATCACCATACTAGCGACCATCGATATATTGTTTTGTACTATCGCGAGACTGGCCGCCGTGTTAATTGTACTGCAATGACGGTAATGGGTGTGTGTGGTGTGTGGATAGAATAAGGCAGAGGAACACGGAGAAGGCCAACTGGTCTACCGAGGCGTACCACACAGCGTCAAGTAAAACGCTTGGCAACTAGCCTTACAAGACTGTTTTGCCACTAGGCGTCAGATCGCTGACCAATGGTTTGGAGAAGAAGGTAGACCTATCACTATACGAACACTATATCGCCGCATTCGAACTTTTGGAAATTTTTCATACCGTCCACCGTTAGTGCTTCCTCTGATTGCGGACCACTGTTGTCAACGTTTGAACTGGATCAAAGAACGGCAACATTGGGAGGCTTACGACGCCGCGGTGGATCGTGGCATGATATGGGATTTGCTGTTAAGAGGCATGCACTTTTCACGCAGCTCTCTCATAAGTTAATAGAGAATTATTTTCGGCTCCTTTTAGAAAAAATCTGACTACGATCATGCATAACAAAAAAATGGGACTAGCGTGGATCTGGCCAGCCAAACAGGCCTTTATAATTAGTCCATAGCTCCACACTCATTTAACAATGTTGATGTTTAGAAATCCCTTCCTTGCAGCACCTACCATCTGGCAACGTTGCTATGACTAACCTCGCCGGATGCCAGCCAGCTGTCGGTGTGTTGAAAACATGTCTCCGTCATTCTGTTTTTAAAAACAAAGGTACCGGAAAATCTATGTTATGTGAAACATATCTAATAGCAACCTACAAAAAATTACTGAAAACAACCAGATGCCTCTGATTTATCAGAAAACGAAGATTTTTTTTATTTTCTGGCTAAACTGTTGCCACCATTAGATCGATTTCAAAAAATTACATCGCTCTTTCTTTATCGGTGTAGTGATAACCTTGAGTCAAAATTTCATCAACTTCCTACAGGACTTTTGAAGACAGACCGAAGACAAATAGATGATAATTAAAAAAGGTATGTAGACAAGCCTCAACCATCAAATCCTTTGTCAGTTTGAAGACTAAACGTTCATATGAACATAAGTCCGTAACGCCTTTCTTTTCGACCTAGAGCACTATCACTAAAGAAATACGAGTAATGTTCCAAATATTTCTATGAATAATGAAACGTATTTATTGAAAAGTTGGTATAACCTATGATAAATTTTGCATGTTTTACAAGTTGCTGAGGCTCAATATGAACGTGGATGAAAATAGTATTATCCTGTATTTTTAACGAAATGCATATCTGTCATTTCATGATTACTGAACACTATGACAATTAGTAAACACTAAAAATTAGAAATATTTGGAGTCTTAGAATGACCAGACAAGAAAGCAAATATTTGTTAGCTGTCGAATTATTGGAGAAAATGAATTAATTTAATTGTTTTCGGATAAGCACAATGCTTGAATATTAAAAGTATTGCAATCAAAACAAATCAATGTCATGCTATTTTTTCAAAAAAATACTGGATAACATTATCCATATTCACTACGTACATACTTGGAGCATCTGAAAACCACTGTAAATCATGTGATATTCACCACAGGGCATACTAAATTAAAATAAAATACGTTCTACTCTTTTATAATTTTTTGGAACAATATCATCATTTCTTTTGGTGCTAATATGCTCTAGCTTGAAAACAAAGCTGTTGCGGACTCATGTTCATATGGAAATTTCGTCTTCAAATTGACCTAGGATTCTATGGTTAAAGTTTACCTACATACCTTATTAACACCCTGTACATGCTGGTCAACTCAATGGAGCCGACCAAGTTATCAATTTCTAAATTCGTTGATATAATTTGTCAAGCCGCCTACCCTTGTAAAGATTCGTCGCATGCATAAAATAGAAATAAACATAAAAACTAAGGGCAGAACAAACACTCGCATCTGCAAACTATCCAGTGAACGCCAAGTGAAACCAAATTCGTATTTCGAAGAAAATAGATAACAGAACCGGATGCTATAAAGTTGGACTTTTCAAATATGCCTGGACAAAAACATGATTTGGAGATCTATTCTGTAATAATATTTGGTTGCTATAACTATAAAGTTACAACCAAAGGAGTGCTGAGAAATTTGAGTCCCACCCATTTGGTTACCAGATGTTAAAAACTACCCCGAGCGCTGAACGGTCACGCGTCAGAGGCGTATCACGGGATATCTAAGACTCCCGAAGGCTAGCATATTACTAAAAATTGTCATAATCGTGTGAAAATATGAAAAAGAGGAGACAAACAGCTAGGTTTTTAGTAGAATTTTCCCCTAGCTGATAGGAGTAGGTGCGCCAGGCTGGATACGATTCTACTTCTGTCAAGTTACGCGTTGACAGATGCGGTTTGGAAACTATCGTTAGAGAGGGGCAGGTGAAACTATCGAAAGACTGCGTCGTTCCAACGAAACTGACTTTGCTAAATTACATTAAAAATTCCAGAAGAGAGTCACCGTTAGTTCTACCTAAATGCTATCTATAATTTTATAATTAATTAAGAGCACATCTCGAATTGTGGCCTGAGCATTACAGGAATTCCCAATCCATTGAAATTATTGAAAACTGCAGTGTTTGCCCCAAAGCAATTAAAGCCACGAGACGTCACTGAAGCGTGTTGCGTAAACTTAAGGGAAGACTGTACGCTGACGACACTCCTTGAGGTGGGACAAGGGAACGTAATTAACCAATAGATTTTAAGACCATTTTGAGTTCAAAAATTAAGTCTAACAATCATTGGCCAGGTTAGTTTCCATCATTGGAGAATCAGAGGACCATTGCAAGGGTTGTAAACTGTTCGACCAATGAGGACAAGGGTTGAACTCACTAAGAAAAATGACCAGCCTTCCGATGGAGGGTAAAATCCGCAACTGACCTCCGATAATTTTGAAACTAAAAACTTCAATTCCTCTCGTATCTTTGATTTGTACGGTGGAAAAAGTTGCTTCGATTTTGCCTCAGCTAGTGGCTGTTAATAAGTGTTGCATTGGTAGAATTTGTGTCAAGTTGTGTTCTCATCAGTAAGCACTTCCAGTTACTTAAAAGGGGGCTTTTCCCTTCTTTATTAGCCCTTCTGGCTAAAGCTAACACCGAGCCAACTAAGGATTCTATGCATTAGCTCGATTAATTAGCATTGTAAAGTTGAGATTCTAGAGTTTAATTTTGCTATTGGTTCAAACTTAAATTTATTGTAATTTAGTTGTGACCGTTCCTTTTAACTTAGTCGTAATTCACTCCTCCAGTGATCTTTTCCCCAGCCTATTAGTTTTACGAAGATAACTGTTTTCTGTCATTGCTACTTCACTCTTCACGAGTGTATAGATGTCTTGAGTCTGTAATTATTGATAAAAATGAGTCTCCTTTAACTTGAGTTCCATTAATTTCATTAACTGAAGCTAACTGAGTTCGAGGGTTCCGAAAGTATTCATTCAGGCGTTTACCACATTCTCTGATTACTTGGAGAAGAGTAAAGTGAGTGTTTCAATGAGTCAAACTTATATTACTTTATGTCAGGTTCTACGCGAGTCTACCTCCTACAGGAAGACAAGTAAAAGGTAACAGAATTTGAAATTCGAGGGGTCTCGGACCAGCCCAGAAATTGAAGTATTGGACTGGCGATCCGAACTATATATTCAAGGCACGACATTGAGATGTCCGGGAGTCTCGGACGAAGATCCTGTTACATCAATAAACATTAAAAACGTTTCATCTCATTTAGGTTAGAAAGCTTTCTCGCCAGATGGCATAGCAAGTTAGTATATCGAGCATAGAAGCTAAGTTACAAGCAATTATTTAGTTTCGATTATTTTTGAATCAGGCGCTTCCGATGAACCCAAAAGATAATTAACATATATGTACCTACGTTTTTTGAACATCCAATGTCCAAATGTGGTTGCGAAGTGTGGATCTGTAGGGTTGAGTTCCACTACCTTCTTCAGCAAACTGTCTATCGTTGGGTCATTTGGTCCCCTGAGTTTCGCCAGTTCGATGTACGCTGGCGTAAAGGAAGGCTCTAGAGTTAGACAGCGTATCAGCATGTGCTCAGACTCTCCGGTTTTGTTCAGCTTTCTGGAAAGAAAAGATAGAAAGGTCAACGCAGTGTACAGCTAGTGGCAGGAGGTTGCAATACCTGAGCTCAATAAATTGTTTTTTTGTGTCGTTGCATATGTTGTTTCGTTGATCGAAACTGTTACTGAAATGAGGTGGAGTCCAATATACAAGGTGACGGGAAAATAGATGCGGAGCCGGTGGGGGGAGATAGTACAAGCCAATCTGAGTCGATTTTACTATAGGAACTACTGTTCGAAAATTATCCATTTTCGAATTATAATAATTTCACTGATCAACAGCCAAAAAATATCCTAAATAAAATCAACAAAATATTATTATTTTTAATGTGTTGAAACCGGAATGAAACTTATTTTTTCAATATTAGTTCAAGTTTTAGAGATACGGTAATTATATGTGTTCCTGCTGTGACAGTGTTAATATACTGTAATTCACAAGAATGCACGTGCTACATTTTTATATTCGGCAAGGAAAGATGATGTAATCGGCATGATTGTGTTACGTTATACATACGTGTACATTATATGGTTTTATATTAGCCATTTTTTCCTCAGTTGGCTGACAGCGTTCATGCAAGATGTCTCGAAAGTGTGTAAACAATCCAGATCAGTTTTGTTACGTGTGTGATGATGTGACTTTTGCGTCTCAGAGACGGTCTATTACTTCACTAATAACAAAGGCATATCAGCTTTATTTCGGTTGTAAACTAGGTGATCAAGACAAACAGTGGGCACCCCACATCTGCTGTAATACATGTGCTTCAAGTCTCAGGAGCTGGTTAAATGGCAAAAAACGGTCTATGCGCTTTGCTGTCCCAATGGTTTGGAGAGAACCTACAAATCATATTAATGATTGTTACTTTTGCATGGTACCTTGTGCTGGACAAGCTACAGGTATGTCCAAGAAAAAAAAATCGGTTATTAACTACCCAAACATACCATCTGCGATAAGACCTGTGCCTCACAGTGACGAAAATCCTATTCCAAAACCCCCAGAATCCTACACTTGCGAATCAGAAAACGAATCAGATCATGGCGATCGAGTGATTCGTCAGGAAGAAGATATGCCATCAACGTCAAGAGATTCTGATTTTATACCGACCACGTCATGCCACCAACCGCACAAAATAACAGTCAGAATTAAATGATCTTGTAAGAGATTTAGAACTTCCAAAATGTAAGGCAGAGTTACTTGGATCAAGACTGCAGCAGTGGAACTTGGTAGAAGACGATGTTTCGGTATGTGTTTTTCGTAAACGCCACAAAGACTTAGAACCATTTTTCAATATGGAGAATAACTTGGTTTTCTGCAGTAACATTAACGGCTTACTGGCGGCTTTAAATATAAACTATAACCCAGAAGAATGGAGATTGTTTATAGACAGTTCAACATTGAGTTTAAAGGCAGTGTTATTGCATATTGGAAATATTTTACCATCTCTTCCTGTAGGGTATGCAGTTCACATGGAAGAATCATATGACAATATGAAGTACCTACTGACATGCATAAAATACGATGAGCACCAATGGCATATTTGTGGCGATTTGAAAGTTGTTGCACTTTTACTTGGGTTGCAGCTAGGCTACACAAAGTTTTGCTGTTTTTTGTGTGAATGGGACAGTCGGGCAAAGGCACTTCATTACACCAGACAAAACTGGCCTGTTCGTCAATTCCTAGAGCCAGGTCAAAGAAATGTACAGCATATGCCATTAGTAGATTCGAAAAAAAATTTATTACCACCACTGCATATCAAGTTGGGCCTAATGAAAAACCTGCGTCAGAAATTTGCAAGACTAAGTGAGGCAACGGTTAAAGAAGGTACTTTTGTTGGGCCACAGATTCGAAATATTTTGAAAGATACACAGTTTGAAAACACTTTAACAGGTATTGAAAAAACTGCTTGGAATGATTTCCGTCTGGTGGTCACTAATTTCTTGGGAAATAGAAAAGCTGACAACCATAAAACCCTTGTCAAAAATATGCTGTCATCGTATCAAAAGATGGGCTGTAATATGTCTCTTAAGATACATTTCCTACACTCACACCTGGACTTTTTTCCTGACAATTGCGGAGCCGTAAGTGATGAGCACGGCGAACGTTTTCATCAGGATATTTCAATAATATTGAAAATAGGTACCAGGGAAAGTGGAATCCTTCCATGCTTGCAGACTACTGTTGGACTCTTGGTAGAGATGCTCCAGAAACGATCCATAAAAGAACAGCAAAAGGACAGCGCATATAGTGATTCTTATAAGTATATGAATCTTGTAACTTTTTTAATATATCCTTAAAAATAAAAAGTTTTTTTTCTAAACCGCAACTAATTTTTTTTATTTCATTGTCATTTTTGGATTCAGCGCCCCAAAATTAACAAAAAAGTGCACTTTTCCCACAAGATACAATTAAAAAACTAAAATTTGTTGTCCAGTGTTTTTAAGACTTTATAAAATTAACGTCCTTTATACGTTAACCAAGTCATAAAATTGGGTGTTCATTTGACTTTTCTCTCGTTTTTCAATAAAAATATTCAAAAATACGAAAATTGATACTCAAATGTACATTAGCGACGTTATCTCATGCAGTAAGCTTCAAAATAGTTCAATTTTTGTTAAAAAAATCTTCGTTCACCTCAAAAACTCAATTTACTAGAAACAATCGCCTACAAATTTTTCGTGCAAGACAATTTTAAAATATCTACGTTTCAAATGAGGTATCAAAGTCACAAACCGGCTTAGAAATGACAAAGATATGAGTGAAAGAAACAGGTAGATCCGCGAACATCGGACTTTGCCACCGGAATAGTGTAATAAGTAAGACTAGTAACCCCCCTCCCTCCAGCGCTACAATCTGCTCTTGCGATTTGTTGCTTTCGGATATGTTTGTTTGCTCGCTGTTTTGATTTTTCTAACGACTTGGCTATTGTTGGACTTCCGTGTGTGATCCTTTTCCTGATGACCTAGACTGTACCCTGTTTTCTGTGATTCCTTAGGACTTGGCTGCTGTGTGACTTGATTGTTCGTTGATCTACCTATCGATGAACAAAGGCTGATGAAAAAAGGAGGCGGCCGTTCAGTTTCGAAGAATACGCCGACATCCTTTTCTACTATGGAGATGCCAGACGCAATGCTGAAGAAGCTCGTCGTGGGTATGGGGAAATGTTTCCTAATCAAAATTCAAATTCAAAATATTTATTTCGTCATGAATAAACATCATAAACAAAAGAAATTCTACATATAGAGTAATGACGAAAAAGGACAGTCTCTCGATTATAAAACCGATACATTGGACCCTTTAATATAAAGAGTCCATGCGAGAAAGCCCTGAATACCCTAAAAGTCCTTAAACAAAAGAAAAAAAAACAATAAAGAGGCAAATGAAGAGGCGGTGAAACACAAAAGCCTCTTTTGTGGCAAAATTGAATCTTGTTGGCTCACTGATCCTTTGTGATAAGTTATAACTATGAATTATATTTTTGAGGCGATTTGTGTATGCAGAATTATTTAAAATGTTTTTCCTATCAGTAATAAATAATCATATTTGACACTGACAAAACCGAGAAAATTTTCTAAGGAGTCTAAAAAATAAGTGACACTCTCAGAAGGCGAACGATAACTATTAACTAAAAGATAAGTTTCTCCGCCTATCTTAAATTCTATACCTATGGTTTCTGCACAGTTAATTTCCACATTTACCCTTGAATATTTCAACCCGCTTTTAATGTATAAATCTGCCTCTCCTCCTCGACCCTGCCCATCATTCCTTATAAATTTGTATCCAGGTATGCAAAAACTTTCACTTCTTAAAGTTGGATTGAGCCATGTTTCAGAAACGTCGCCTACCTGACGCCCGCGTATTTAGGCACGTTCCGTCGGGTTCTAGAGCGCGGTACCGTTGTAAGATATCAAGGTAAGTTTGATAATTATTAACTTATCATAATCAGTCATTCAATAAGGCCTATGTTTGTAGAGTCTTGGAGGTATGTGGGATGAACTGATGATACTGTAACATAGTTGTTTTGATACAGTTGCTTGAAATTCTTAATTAACGGTTTATTCATTTAATTTTAACACGAGCATCTACAGGGCTCTGAAGATGGAAACATCCACACGTTGTGTATCGTTTTTTCTAAATAATATTTTGCCAACTCTAGCTCTTAGTCTTACCACTATTACCGTCGTTATTTGTTTTTTCATTTTATTTCAGGTGATGCAGGTAGACCTCGACATGATGTGGAAGAAGATGAAGAAATATTAAATATTTTCCAAAGAGACCCTACTCTCTCTACTCGCGCTGTGGCTCGACGGCTTGGATTATCCCAATGGCAAGTGTGGTATGTTTTGCATGAAAACATACCACACCTGTGCACGTCATAGAGGAAGGAGATCCCATGAGGCGCATGCAACTTTGTCGTTTTATTTTAAACGCTGATAGCAATTATTTAAGAACAATTCTATGGACCGACGAATCAAAATTTGATAAAAACGGCATGACAAACTACCATACCGCTAACTATTGGCGTGAACGTGCAATGGGAAATTCTCATATGAAGAGACCAAAAGGATCTCTAAAGGCGATTTTGTCTGAATGTCTGGATGGGCATTATAAATAACATCTCCTACCCGACAACTTAAAATTTCTTAAGAAATGTTCTATATGAATTACTTGAAGACGTGCCGCTACACACAAGACACAGAATGGTTTTTCAGCATGAAGGATGCCCAGCACATTTCAGACTAAGTGTTAGAAACTGGTTAAATGAGCAGTTTCCGAATCGATGGACCGGTAGAGGCGGACCAATCCCATGGCCAGCACGCAGTCCCGATCTCACACCTATGGACTTTTTTGTGTGGGGTTGCATGAAAACTTTAGTATATACGTACTCTGATCAAAATCCTGTACCCACAATGGAAGACCTCAGAAACAGGATAATACATGCAGCACAAGAGATTCAAGCCTCTCTTAGGAATTCGGCGGTAGTAAAATCAGCTGCCA